TCTGAATCCTTGGATATCTTCTCCTGGGATATCAGAGAACCAATGTAACTTATAAAGCCATCCATAACTGAGAGATGGGTATGGCTATGCAGTGTCAGGACCAGCCTTCCCAAATATTTCTCTGTTCACATTTCTTAGAGTCATGACATAAACACTGAGCATCCAAGCTGTGATAACTTTTATTAAAACTGGTTACTCTCAAGCTCCTCTGATAGTCTCTGTTTTAGTGATCTCTTAAGGTATAAATAGACCCAAATCAGAGAGAGGATCTGAGCTTTCTCTCATATCACACACTGAGAACTGTAAACACCAGTGGGACAGCCCTGTTTTCTGTGAGAGCAAGACATGTAAACTATCAGCTGAAGGAACTGTGTTCCTATATATGTGAAAGATCATTATTTTCTCTGGGTTTCTCTAATAAAGAATGCCTACTGCACTTTCCTTAGAAAAGCCTACCTTCCTTTTTTCTGTTCTTGCACAAAATGTTTAAAATCATAGGCCAAATAGCTTATTATTTATCCATGTGCAGGGTAGGGGCAGGACCATATCTGACTGGGCTCTTTTGGCATCTCATAGTATGCTGTGGATATTTTGTTTGGATGGAAGGGATGTCCTTATTTGCATGTCTCAAAGTACTTATCAGTGTGTTTCCACTACGGTCAAACTCTCCTAAAACACAGTATTATTTGGTGTACAGCTGTTGCTGCTAAAGTAAACAGATGATTTTTCTGCTTTGCCATCAGATTCTAAGGAAGTAGACACTTCCAGGGAGATGTCCAACAAAGCTGGATCAGGAGGATTTTTGTCATTGCAATGTGCTACTTTAGACAGATGTAGCAACTGAGTGGGTCTTCTTGTGGGTGGGAAGAAATGTTTTCTCTGAACCAGTCCTGTTCCCACAGCTGGACTGTCTGAATTCACATCCTGTCTTGCCACAAGCCCTTCATGAAAACCCATCTTTTCGATTTGCCCAAAGCCTGAGTTCCGAGTATTTGTGGTAAGAGATGGCCAGACTTGGGGCTTCAGAAACGATTAAACTTGAGGTGAAAACGGCACAGAAAGTTTGATTTGGAAAGGCAGGACTCCTTCTCCAAATTGTCTTTGGTTATTGGTAAAAAAGAGCTGATGCATCCAATGGGAACCTGAGTTGATTGAGCCTCGATAGGAATGTGACAATCACCTCCTTACCCAAGGGAGGAGTGTTGGCTGGGACTTCTGTGCAACCTAGTGCAACCCTAACTCTCAAAGGAAAAGGGATGTCACGTCCTCAGATGGGAAAGCACCAAGTGCTAATTGATTAGGTATGGCATTGTGCATAATTTACAGGCAGCTGCCAAACATCTTGAGGCAATAACACAGGCAAACAAAGCATTGAGTTTGGGTGTTTAAGCACTATGGAATGGCATTAAAAACTAAACATTACAGCTGCCTTTTCTGCAGATAGAAATGTCCATTTGTGAGAATATGTCATGAACAAGCTGTTTTTTTTTTTTTCCTTCCCCTTGCTGACACATTTGTGGAGAGTTAAGTTGTAGTTATTTGTTTGATTTGTCCTGTGCTTTAACTGGCAGCAGTTAAACAAACTAGAAGCTTCTGGGTTCAACCCAAGGGAGAAATGATTTGTAGGAAGATTCAAGGTATGTGAAGTTTGCATGACCTGGTTTTGAGCACTTCCTCAGAGCACTCATGGAAATCTTCTCTAGATCTTAACATGCTGATCTTACATTTGTAGTTTAAAGCCCTTACATTCCTGTCCTGCTACCAGATGGATTTGAAGAGCCTTGTAAAGTTTCTATCTTTCAATGCCACAGATTGTGAGGAATCCAAAGCTGACCTCAGTGCTTTTAGGACTGTTTATTTAGAGGGCTGAACTAGGAGTGTTTTATGTTGGCTTTTTTTATGGTCACTCGAGCTTTAAACCATAATTTAAGAGGTTGAATTGGCAGCTGAGGGACAGTGAACACCTCAGAGCAGCTCTGAAACAGAACACAGGTTTCAGAAATTGAAGCAATCCTATTTCTTTGCAGTTGTTCAGGAATGGCAAAATGTCTGAGCCCTGCAGCTCCATTCTGGAGCCACCCAAGATGAAATACCTGCCCTGGCCTAACCAGAGCAAGACATAGGGTGTCTCTGATCCCACCTTGCTGGAAGGAGTCAGTGGTGGCCTTGTCTTGATTTGTGTTACCTCCCTGAGTTCTGTCTCTTACAGCTGCTTCATCCCAAAATCCCTGCATTATGGCCTGAAAATGCAAGGTACATTGGAGCTGAAGTTTCCATTTACACCTGCTGGAGATAACCTTGACATGAGGATTATGTCTGAGTGGGAACTTGTTCTTGCATCTCAACACAGAAGAGTAAGAGAAAATGAGAACCAAGCTAATAAAACTGGATTTTAACAGAGGATATGCTAACTTAGATCTTTCTCTCCCTTCTGAGGTGTGGAGCACATCTGTAGTTGGGCTGGGGCAGGGACACTGCCAACCATGCCAGGCCAGTAAAGCTGAGCTTAGATCAGCTCCTGCAGGTCACTCTGCATCTGAAATGAGTTGTTCAGCTTCAGTGAAAGCAGTGTTTGAAAAACACCAGCAATAAAATGGCTTCATTCCATGGCCACCATGAAAACTGTAGCCACGGTGAGGTTCTCAAAAGGTGAAATTAACTGTGTGGTGGATAATCTTTGAGGACAGAAGTTTCCCATGAGGAAATTCAAAGATCCCCTAGACAGACCTGCCACACAACCTTGCTAGCTCTTCAGTTAGGTGTTTTGCTTTTTGGTTTGAGACTCTGAAGATTTAATCCAGGCACTTGTGCAGCTCTATCCTGGTGTCATAAAAGGAATTTGTGCTGAGCAAGGAACTGCTGCTTTTCTTGGTATTAATAGATCACAAGTGTGGGCCCAAGCAATGTCTATGGAACAAGGCTTCCCCAGAGTCCACTTACTGCATGGATGACAACACTCCAGTAGAAATAAACACACTCTTTTATGCTCCATTCCTCTGTGGTGAGTGAAGAAATGGGGGAGGATGTAGTAAAATGTGTTGTAGCACAGGGACTTATATGGGTCTTAGGGATGAAATGAAATTAAATTCTTACCCCTGACTCTTGAGCATGACACAGCTGTCTTGTAGAGGGGATCTTTTCATGAAAACCTTTTAGCCCTAAAGCTTTTGACTTCCTGCCCCTGCTCTCTTTCCCAGCAGAGGATTTAAGAAGTACAAGAGATGCAACACAACATGGGGACCCCAGGGAGCTTTTACTCCCATCCTCACATGTTGTTGTAGACTTTCTTGTCAAGACAAAATCCTTCCTCATCTTAAACAAATCATTCTGTAAAAGAATATTGATTGTTATAGGAGGCAGTAGAAGCTCTGATGGATTCTGCTCTATAGATCCTAGCACTGTGGGTCTTTAGATTCACACAGGGTCATGCTTTGCTTTCAAAAATCTCTGAGAAGTGTAAGTACTGTGCTATCTATAGTCCTGCCAGCTGCCAGGAAAACTTAGCTTGCAGCCTGAGTCTTCAGGAGCATCACTACGGGTGGTGACTGAGTGAGGAGTGTATGGGAGTGAATTAACCATGGAATGGCCCTTGCTGGATCTGTGGCAGAGATGGAAAAATGGTGACACTCCTGCCTCCATTTCTCTCACCTTGTGGGTTTCTCAAATGCTTCTGGCATCTCTTTTTTTTCCCTTCATCATTGCTATTGCTTTTTGAAGAAAATATCATCCTCTGGATAGTAAATTGCATTTGAGTGAGAGGAACAACCAAGTTTAAGCTGGTCTACTCAAGGAGGTAGTATATGGAGTTCTGTATGCTCTTCCTTTTCCTGACGTCAAAATCAATCTGTCCACTTTGGAAATACAATGGGAAGGATCTGCTTGGCTCCAGCTCTGATCTCACTCTGTAGTGACAGCAATCATTGGCCTGGCAAGACTATTGATAAAGGAGCTGGAAGAAATTTTGCTTTTACAAAAAAATTCTGGTTCAGAACTTAAGCACATGCTAATGTAGAACGTGGGGTGCTCAGATATTAGAAGAGAAGCCAGAGTAGGAGATTACACTTAAATGCACTTAGTTGAGAAATGTGTTTGGACTGCAAAATTAATTAACTATAATCAAAAACTGATGGGAGGCAAAAAAAAAAAAAAATCGAGCAAACAGCAGTCTCCTTCATCTCATATAGCCTGCTCTTTTCAGCAGCCTTGCAAGGAAATTGTAGGTGGAATAAAATAATATGGAAAATGGCATGGCAAGATATGCACGAGGTGGTGTGAGAGGAAAATACATGCAAAACTAAATTGTAGAAATGATTTCTAAAATTAGAACCCTATAGATGATAACCCATCATAGTTATCTAGATAAAATAAATTTTAAAATTAGAACCTTATAGATTATAACCCATCACAATTATCTAGATGAATAATTTGCCTGTTTTCTCCATACTTCCCATCCTGTAATAAAGTTGTATTCTTCAACTACACCATGCAAAAGGCTGGATTACACCACTCACCAGTGGGTTTTTTTAGACCAGAAGTGAATTTGGAGTGAAATTTTGGGTGTTGGAGTGATGCAATTAATTAAGTGATGCAGGTAATGAATTAATTACTTCCCCTTCAGCACATGGAATTCATGCCCATGCAATGCTGCTCTAAGACAGTGGCACTTCTCCACCTTCTCTTAGCACAGGCACCTCTGCACCACATCTTGCTCTGGGGTTAGGATTTGCCTCAAGATGTTGTTCTGTTTTAAAAATATATGAGCAGATGTGAACTAAAATCAGTGAATGGAAGTCTTTGTGAATGTATCTGCAGTCATATTTTTCAATGTATACATATCCCCAAATGCCCCTGAAAATTGCCAGTGTCACTGAGATACACTCACTGAAGTATGTTCATGTTCACTGTGTGTGAATATATTTAATGGACTGTAGCAGAAAATTATCTCATTGCTCAGAGGACAGTTTATATGCATTTTCCTCTCCTCCCCTTATTCCCCTCACCTGTTGAACCAGAGCTCAGTCACAGACATGTCCCCTTTGGTGGCTGTTCAGGAATGCTCAGCTTCCATAGGAGGCAGTTGTTCTGTAATAGGCTCCGTGTCCTGAGAGGGAGGGAAGGCTGTAACACAGTTCAGAAAAGGGAAGTGAGAAGGGTGTAAAAGACAAACCAGTTAAACTCTTTCAAAGGATTCTCAAGTACTCATCACAGAAGCATAGAACAAGTTGGAAGTGACCCTGAAAGCTCATCTTGTTCCACGGGCAAGGACATCTCCTACCAGACCAGGCTGCTGAGAGACACATCCAGCCTGGCCTGGATGCTTCCAAGGATGGCACATCCACAGCTTCTCTAGGCAACCCAGTTTAGTGCCTAAATTCCTAATGTGCAACCTTCATCTACCCTTTTTCAGTTTAAAATCGTTGTCCTTTGGCTGGTCACTATGGGCCCTGGTAAAAAGTCTCTTTCTTACCAGCCCCTGAAAGGCTCCTCTGAGATTTCTGTGGAGCCTTTTCCAGGCTGAACAACCTCAACTCTGTCAGCCTCTGTTCAGAGGAGAGGTGTTCCAACACTGACTGTTTTTGTGGACTTCTTCTGTATCTGCTCTGACAGGTCTCTGTTTTATGATAGCAGAAAACTGTAGATGCCATTTACCATGATAAGGTGGGAAAATCCAAGAACCCCTCTAAAAAGTTGGCTGCACCTCTGTGGATGGTGGTGGTGTTTATTGAAATTTTTTTTATAAAAGGAATAAATATGCTTTTTCTTTTATGGAGTGAAATGTTCTTCTCCCATCCATCCCTCACACACCCCCAACCACTAAGTGGCTTCTCTGGAGAAAACAATGTCCAAAACTGGTGACTCTTCTACCAAAAGATCAGTCTCCTGAATGTAGTATACATCCATGCAATCTTTTTTTAGGGCTTCCCCAAATGGGAAAAAATATATCAGAGATTTTTTGTAATGCTCATCTTGCCAAATATTTCAATAACCTGGTCTGTATTACCAGAAGAGCGCTTGGAGCTAAAAATTTCCTATAATCTCCTTTCCCTTTACAGAAATAGATAAATAATTTCTCTGGAATGAAAAATCTGTGTTGATCTCCACCTTTGCACTACTTACACTTGTGTTATAGATAAACTCCAAATAATGGCAAGTTTTTTTATTTAATGAGAACTGAAATCTATAGCTCTGTCATTTCACTTCTTCCTCAGGATTCACTTTTAGTCAAATGGTGAAACACTTCTATTTAGCTTTAAAAAAGGTGAAATTATCTGAGCTGGCTCTCGAGGGGGTCTGAGTTGCAGGTTCACATGGAACAGGTGTGAGAAACTGGACTTTGTGGTATCTGTTGCTCTGCACTTTTCCCAGGTGTCTTTTTCCTGCCTTCCTCTGTCCCTGCATTAATTTGGTGGGTACAGCCCCCTCTAAAGGCAGCAACGAGCTACCAAGAATAAAATTAGATTTTAAGATAAGACAGTTGTTTTAAATGCCCTGTTATAGGGACTGGCAGGTACATTTATTGCTGTGTAGTTTTTGTGGTTTGTTCTTTAATTAATCTAATATAAATCTGTCAAAACCAAGGCACCAAATTTGCTTGAAGCCTACTTGTGCAACAGAAGTTGGTTTGTTTGGTTTTTTTTTTTTTTCCCCCGAAGTCCACCACTGCTTATTATAGCAACCACAGTGACTCAGTTTGGGAAATCCCTCCATGAAGGTGTTTATCCTTTCTTGTCTTGCCACACGTACACTTGACTTCTTCACCACCTGCAGCCTGGACCTTGGGCTCTGTGTGAGCTGCTCAGCACCCTGGCACCTCTTGCCTTCCTTTTCTCTGCCAGTTTGTGAACAGCCACCATTCAGAACCTGAGAGATTACCTAGAGCTCCCTTTTTGCCAGGATGCTGAGTGCCTTGAGCCTTTGCTCTCGCTCAGGTGACATTTTGAGGCAGCAAGTGTGATTTGATTGTTTTCAGCCTAGTGTTGGTCCTCTGAATTTGGCTAAACTAAGGCTCCCTGTTTGGCCACTTCTGTGACTCTGTCACTTTAATGACTAAGGAAGAGCAGAAAGATGAGATCAGAAATAAAGGCAAAGGGGTACTCAGCGAGAAACTTAGTTGGGAATGCCTTTTGTTTTCGTGGTGGCCTCACTTTCCATTTTGCACGCCCCAGCTGGGAGCCAGCACAGGGGAGAGCAGTTACACAACTGGGAACCCCCTCAATCTGTGGCTTTTTCTCTCTGGCAAACTGTCGCTTATGACAAAGAAAAAAAAACAAACCCCAAGCTAAATCCACACAGTTTCTTTTTCATTTTTTCTACGGCTACATCATCTGAAACAAGTGTAAAAGACCTTAGTCAAAACCCATAGCCCATATACTGCAATTTTGGCACTTTCTCGTCCAAGACAGAAAATTTGATCTCTTGCTTACCTCTGTGGAATCTCTGTGTTCCCTCTGCACGTGCTGGGACCCAAACGAGCTGCTGCAAGGAGCTTCTGCTGTGAACGAGGAAGTGCTGGAGCAGAGGATGTGAGCAGTGACTCAGAATTTGGGGGCTGGCTCTCCAGCCAAGCTGAGGAATAAATGGAATTACTGTCAGCTCAGTGTAACATGTTTCCCTGATGTAAGGGCATGCAGGCTACCTCTTTACCAACAGGAAAAAGCTCAGGAACATCCACCTTTAATCTTTTCCCAGAATTAGCTATTCCAGGAAATCATAGCTATTTATGATTATGCTACCTTCAGGTATTGCAGTTCTTTCTAGGACGATTGCCTATCTTTTGTCCTATAGTTAAAAGTTATTTCTTCGCACGAATGTGCAACTTGAAAATGTTCAGAACAAGGATTTTGCCAGTGTTTCTCCTGTCTCTCAGTTTAAGCAGGCACTTGAGACTTTGCTTTGTTCTTTCTATTGAGAAAAGAAAATAATTAAGAAACTCTTATTTTAGTTTGGACTGATGTTCCTGTATTTGGTTTCCTGTACAGCCGAGCACAGAGGCTACCCCTGGCAGTTTCTAAGGATGCTTTTCCAAACCATACAGCGTCAAAAAAAACACCCCTTTTATTTGCTCTGCAATCAAGCACTGTTTTTTTTTCCCTGGCTCTCTGCTTTTGATGTGCAGGTACTGAGCAATATTCACCCCTTATGTTTTCAGCCAGCCATGGCAGAAGCTTTTCCTTTTCTCCTTGAGAGTTCCTGCATCTCACTGAACTGTGGGCTCAGCTGTGGGTATGGCATCATCTGCTCTGGCATTTCATAAAGAAATTCGTTTTTCTTTCAATGGGCATTTGCTGCCAAGGGCATTTCTTCACTAGAGTGGGTATTTTGGAAATAGTTTCATAATTTCACAATTCAGTAATTGTGGAAAAATATATTTGGTGGATTCTGCTCAACACTTATTCAAACTGCCAGTTTCTGGGTCGTCTCTCTTGCATTGAATCCTCCTGACATCTCCCTTTGTTTGCTTTACAGATGTATACACAAACTTCTTAATGCACTGTTAGTGTTGAACTTACATTATATGAACATGCCATAAAAGGCATACCCATTGATTTGAATTATTATTAAAGAGTATTAAATAATTGTAATACAACCACTGTTCTCATTTATCTTACCTTCTCCTCTACTTGGACTAAGTAGAGAGCTTGCTATTTAGTCATGCTGGATGAATTTACATATTAATGTGTAACACTCATACAAAAAAAAAATACCTAAACTTTAGAATAGGTCTGGGTTTTTCTTGGGTTTTTTTTAAAATTAAGCTAGAAGTGAAATAATTGAAAAAAGTCTAGAAAGTCATCTTTCATTATACTAGAAAACAAACAAAGCCACCCAGACTCTACTTAATTGTTTTAAAAGTAAGACTTGATAAATCAGTCAGCTTCATGGTGGTATTTCAGCAATATGTAATTTCTCATTCAAATAGGGCCATAAAGGAGTTGCTCATTCTCTCCCGTGGCAGTGATAATCCAGAGTATTTCCAGAGGCACTTCACTTTTGGAAAGCTTTGAATGCCTGATGCAACTCATATTTAAACGGGTGGAAAACAGAGCAGAGGAATAAACTTCTGAGTTTGTAGAAGTTATTTTCTCTCTAGCACTGAAACACAGAAGTGGAAGGTATCCAAGACTAGAATTCCTGATGAAGTACCAAAACCATCTATGGCTGCACTAATATCAAGGGAAAGTTGTGTTGGTGGTTTTTCCCCCTCTTCTGAGAGCTACTCTTCTGGAAGATCCTAATGCTACTCTGAGAGCTCCTGTCACAACAGCACAAGAACTGTCCAAGTTAACTCAGCTGCTGGAATCTGACTCAGAGGTGCCATGTCCTGCTCCAGATAAAAGGAAATCACACCATTACAAAACTTAAGGATGTGACAATATTTCCTTAATGCTGCATAGGATAATTCCTTCTTTGAACAAGCCTAAATTTAAACCATCAACTGAAGCAATTCCCCTATGTGTCCAGTGATTTCAACAGCCTTTCCCACTACATCCCTTTGAGCTTCTATGTTTTTCAATACAAGTTTTTCTTGTGTTTTGTCTTCCAAGTGCTGTGGCTTGGTGATTAAGTACCACCTAGCAAAAAAAAAATCATGAGGATGGAAAGGCTGCTCCAGCTTTGTGCTTGGATACCCTCTGTGTCTTCCATTCTTTTCTCATGTTGTTGCTGTCCTCCCATCTTGCAGGAGGAGGTGGCAGATATGGATTACTAAAGAATTCTTCCAAAACCTCTCAGGGTACAAAAATACAGGAGCCACAGACACCTGTGGTCATTTAATGGTCTGGAGTGAAGGCTGTGGGTCTGGTGGACATGGCCATACAGTTTTTACTCAATTTGATTTTCAGTGGTAAATGCAAAGGAGTCATACTGATCTGTGGTGACTGCTCACCAGGATAAACCTTTCCTGTGTGTGGTTGAGCTTTGGTTTGGAGTTGGTTTTTGTTGGTGATGATTTTTTTTCCCAGGCTCATCAATGGCTCAATGTGGCACAAGTGAGGTGCTGTGATTGCTCAGTGTTCCACTGTGCTA